CAATTCTTTCAGCTTGTGAAATGTTGTGTTGTTCCCTTTTTATTCTCCAATTCTAGGCCTCTGCATATTACATTATAATACTTTGCTTTGTCTTTTGGAGTTGCTCCTTGAAACCTTCTGTTTAGCTTTTTACTTTAACATCTCTTTCCTTTGTTTTGGCTTTTCAATGTTCTAGTGAAATTTTTAGGGTCTCTCCTGACATTCATTCTGTTTTTTTATTTCTCTCCTGTCTTTGGCGTGATCTTTTGCTCTCTTCATGGATGATATGTTTGACACCATTCCATAATTCATTTGGTCTTTGATCCTTGGTGCTCAATGTTTCAAACCTGCTCTTACGATGATTTTTTATATTCAAGTGGGATAGACTCACGATCATATTTTTGTTCTTGTGAACTTGTTTTAGTTTTCTTCAGCCTCAGTTTGAACTTGCACATGAGCAATTAATGGTCTGTTCCACAGTCAGCATCTGGCCTGGTTTTGACTGCTGATATTGAACTTCTCCCATGACTTCTTCCACAGACATAGTCAATCTGATTCCTCTACAGTCCATCTGGTGAGGTCTATGGTATAAAGTCACCATTCAAGTTTTTCTAAAAAGGTATTGGCAATTAACAAATCATTGAATGTACAAAATTCGATCATTCTATTTCTGATCTCATTTCTGTCATCAAGCCTGTATTTTATTGTTTCCAACATTCCCATTCCAATCACCAATTATCATTAACACATCCTGAGTGCACGTTTGGTCAATTTCAAACTGCAAAATTTGATAAAAATCTTCAATTTCCTCCTCTTCAGCTTTAGCTCTTGGTACATGTATTTGAATAGTTGTATTAATAGGTCTTTGTTGTACATGTATGGATAATATCCTATCTCTTATAACACTGCACTTCAGGATAGAACCTGAAATTGTCTTTTTAACTATGAACGCAACACCACTCCTCTGTTTTCCTTCTCAGCAAAGTAACCATGTGATTGCCTCATTCAAAGTATCCAAAGCCTCATCTCATGAATTCCTAGAATGTCAATGTTAATGTGGTCCATTTCATTTTCCAAAACTTCTAGTTTTCTAACATTCATAGTTTGTATATTCCATGTACCAACCACTAAAGGATATTTGCAGCTGTTTCTCCTCATTTTAACTGACTTCCAGTCTGGGCTCTGCCTCTAATACTCTGTCTATCTGTGATTCTCTGCTGATTATAGTTTTCAGAGGCCTGCTATTTCAGAAGTGGATGGCCAATCCTTTCTAATCTATATTAATCTGGGAGCTCTACTAAACCTATCCTCCACAGATGACCTCTCTGGTATTTGACACACCAACAACACAGTTTTCAGCCTCACAGCAAACCACAAGTTACCTCAGTACCGTAAACTGACAGACAAGCGCTGGATTTACCGTGGCCTAGTGGTAAGAAGCTGTCGTGTAATATCAAAGACATGCTGTTCGGATCCACAAGCTGCTCTGTGGGAGAATGAGCAGTTTGCTCCCATGTGATTTAGTGCCTCTGAAAACCTGCGGGAGGGTCAGTTTTTATCCATTCTGCCTTAAAAACAACATATTTTTTATTGGAGGAAGTAAATAAAGAAGTGATATACTAATAATTAAAAAACTCATTGCCACTGACTTGGAATAGACTCAACTGACCCAACAGTGGATTTTCAAAAGCTGTAAATTGCATGGGAGGAGGTTGCCCATCTTTCTTCCCTGGAACAGCTGGTGGATTCAAACCATCTGCTTTTAGGTTAGTACTGCCTTACCCACTGGGCTACTAGAGTCACAAAAATCATCTTTAAAATTGAGGAGCTGCAAAAACTGAAAAAGAAATGGTCAAAACTACTAACCTCTGAACTGTGGAACAAAATTAAGAAGGTAAAAATGTTATTTTTTTCCCCACTGTTTATAT